TTTAAACCAGACAAGCACTTCACTGAATTAGCAAATGGAACTCGAGCAAATAATGTTGCCCTAAAAAGAGGAGATGTTGATATTACTATCGTCGATTCGCCTGGAACACCTGTGAAGGCAACTTTGCCAAATGCTCTGTTTATACCATCATACCATCTGCCAGTGCCAGTGTGACTTTCCAGCCAGATTCTGCTGAGTTGACGTATAAGGATGGCACAAAGTTTGTCACTGAGAAGCATGGCAGACTGCATTATTTGAACACATATGATAACATCACTGACTCTGATTCCGTAAACTGTGTACGCTCTATGAATGAGTGGCACAAATCCTAGGACACTGTAATTATGATGACATTAAGAAACTAGAGCATGTTGTAGATGGTATGAAGGTTAGCCATGAGAGTTCTGATCAGTTCTAGCAAACCTAGCGACTGTAATGTATGTATACTAGGAAAACTTACACAGAATAGGAATAGAAAGCCTGATGCACTTGCAACTGCCCCTCTAGAGTTAGTTCGCACTGACCTCGCTGGACCTGTTGATCCAACCTCTAAGGAAGGTTTTAAATATTGTTTGGCCTTTACCGATAATTTTTCAGGGGCACTTTTTGTCTACTTTCTGAGGTACAAGAGTGACACAGAGGCTGCTACAGAGAGATTTTTGGCAGAGTCAGCCCCTTATGGTAAGGTGAAATGTATGAGATCTGAAAATGGTGGCGAGTTTACTTCTGTGAATTTTGAGGCACTTCTGAGGAGGAATCGCATAAGGCATCAGATACCTCTGCCCCCTATTCACCACACCAAAACGGCACAGCCGAGCGGCACTGGAGAAATGGAGAGATGCCTGCTCATACAAGCCATTTAGCAAAGGTGTTCTGGCCATATGCTGTTATGGCAGCGGCATACACGCGTAATAGGTGCTGTAACAATCGCTTAAAGCAAACACCTTACTTTGCTCTCACAGGTCAGAGACCTAACTTGTTTAACATGAGAGTTTTCGGGTCTGAATGTTATGCCTATGAGCAGGGGAAAAAGAAGAAGCTAGACGCTAGGTGTACCAAAGGGATTTTTCTGGGGTACGACAAACTAAGCCCCGCTTACCTTGTGTATTTCCCAGAGATTGGTAAGGTCATGAAGCACAGGGTGGTAAAATTCCCTTCAGAGTGTTAATGAGAAACACACTCATACCGGAGGTCTGTTATGTGGTGAAGATGATTTCATGTTGTTAGGGCGTAACACTAACCCAGATATGTG